AAAAAAAAAAAAAGATGGCACAAAAAAATAAGATATGAACTCCGCCACAAAGTTTGGCACAACCTTAAATTAGTTGAACATTTATGCTACTCATCTCTGCCAAAAAGAGGTAGGATACGAAATAATGGGGCCAAGTCATACTCTGCCTGAAGGATACCTACAACAGTGTTCTTGCGATATTGTCCACACGGATGCACCTAATTTGAGAAAGTGGCAGAGAGAGGAGATCTGAAAGAGGTCATACGAAGTAAAACATACTTTTTGCAAATGGTGCAACAGACAGGGAACTTGTAACACTATACTAATAAAGCCATACAAAGCAACCTAATACTTAAATGCAAAAAGATCTTTGAAGTACAGTAAAAAAAGCTACCAGACTGCAAAATACCTCAATTTACCTTACAAATAAATGATAACTTAAGGATTCAGCTGTTTTAAGATTTTACAGCCCCATTACAGGCAAATATAAATTTTTTATTGATAAGCAACGAGCAAAGACCATTTTAATTAGATGAATTTACTTACTGGAACTGATGCAGGCTTACAAACAGTTAAGACATCTGATTCTTGATGGAGAATCTCAACATTCAATGCCATCACTGGTGGTTCATGCCTACAACTTTAGTACGTTAATAACTCAAATTTCAAACACAGAGAACTGATACTTCAGAATACAACACGTTTCAGAAATGCATGAAAATAACTACAAGTGTGTAACACAGACATAAAAATTTGGGCATTATCTGAATGGAAAAATAATAACAATTAACCTGTGCAAAAAGTGGCTTATTTTTTGTGATGGCTGAACTACATACGAAACAGGTACTATCTGTCCATCAACTTGTATCCGTCCAGCTTTCACAGCAGACACCTATGATTTGTCAATCCATTTATCATATTTTACACTAAAGTAACAAGTGAAAGATGATCAAAAGCTTAAAAATTGTTCAAGAATGGAGTCTGAAAAAAATGTATTGGAAAAAAAACTTGATGTGATAAATCAACACAAGTGCCAGTGCCCGCTCCTGCTGCACTATGCAACTATAAATTCTTTAAGCAAAAAAGTTGAAAAATAGAAACAGCAAATTCATATCATAATGTGTCAAAAAGAAAGTCATTTGTAAACAACCCACATACATAATAATCGTGCGGCCGTCCTTTGAATTCCTCTGCAAATAAATCTACAATCGTCTTCCCCGCCCACCTATTCTTCGCCTGTACGCAAAACCCACATTCAATTTCGTATTTTTACTTCAACTATTCACATAATTGATAATAAATTCATTGACTCATTTAATAAATGCATACTCACATGAGATATGAATTCAAAGTAGTAGGGTCTAACATATCTTATCCCTGCCAAATATTGCAAGACAATTAACAAAATGTTAAGAAAATAATCAACAAAAATTATGAAAATAATTAACAACAATCTTATCAAGAAAAGGCAGAAAATTTAGCTTCTCTTTCTTTTGAGGGTATCTATGAATTTCGAGAATAATTTTACCGTTTTTATTACGTGGGCGTTATGAATTTCAAAAATTATATACCGTCGCGGAAGATGTAATCATGGCGTTGCGGAGGATTAGCGGGAGTTTGCCACACTATGTCCATTTTTTCTTGTTCATCTCTCTGTCGCTTCATCCTCTGTTAAGGTTTTACTGTCAAAGCAGGTTAGGTGCAGTGAATTCTGTTGTTAGTGAGANATATCGAAATATATAACCAAAATACTGTTAGTTTTGACTGAATTAAAACTCAATCCTACATTCTAACTGGATTAAATCTCGGAGAGAATTTCACAAATATTCATAAGATAATACAGTGTAATACATCAATGCAACAATTGTGACTTCCCTGAAGAGAAATTCAAAAGGGCATATAAAATGGGGAAGAATACATTTTAAATGATATGTAACAAATTGTAAGAATTGTGAGAAGGTTAATATTATATGTATTAAGATGAGTAGCACTATTTTGCTTTTCTTTTTTTTTTTTTAATTGTATTAAGGATGGATTTAGAATGGGATGAATATATAACATTTGGGTAGATATATAGTGTTTAAATTAATGAATTTAATAAGGATAATATTGAAATATGAAGTGGATGAAAATAGTAATTTATTAATTTTTTATGTTTTATTAGAGATAGATATATAACTTTTGTAGATATATATGTATTTGCTTAAAAATATGATATAATTATATCATATTTTTAAATTTATATAAATTTACTTAAATAGATATATATAAAATGAAAAAAAAAAATCACTCCAAATTCATCCATTAATATTTGTTTTCATTAAATCTCTTGGATATTTTAAATTGTTTTAAAATTTGTGTTTAACTAAAACTCTAATAATTATAAAGTATCTTCAACTAAAATCAAATCTAAAAAGTATAAATCTAAACATAAAAAGCTAAAACCTCATTTGACCACTTGAACTAAAAAATGCAGAGGTGTCGCTGCCTTTGTTGGTGCCTCACTTCGAGGAATCAGCAAGGCATTGCTATGGGTTAGTTGGTGTTGTCCATGCTAGTGATGATCTATGTGCGACGTGTCTATTGTCGGTTGGTTGTTGAGTGTGACCGTGGTTGTTGGAGCAGGGTCTACTGTGGGTTTGGTTGGTGGTCTGCCATGGATCGATTGGTGGTGGTTTTGTGGTGGGGTTTGAGGAGGGGGTGGTAATAGTGTCGCAGTTTGTCACTGTTCATAGAGTGTATGTCAAAAGCTGTGTTGATATATGGTGATGGTGTCGGTGGTAGTGATAGGTTACAAGTCACATATACTAGGTCATTGATCATTGTCCATAAGTTACTGATAAATGTAAATAAGTTACAAATCAAAATAACTAATCGCAGGTCATACTTCACAAATCACAAGTCATATTGAAAAAGTCTTGGATCAATGTCAACAGGACATAGATTTAAACTAACTAATCACATAACATATATGGGTCACATGTCATATATATTACATAAGTAACATATCAATTTTTACATGTCACATATCATATTGTTCATTGTTCATAGAGAAATATCCACAATTCATAGATCAAATAGAACTAACCATTGATCATATTTACATGTCATAGGTTACATTTTGTTAGGAATTTACTTAAATATGCACAGCGGAAGTAAAACATTTTCAATTCCCACCAAGATTCATCTTTGTATTTAGATAGGAATTGTGATAACAGTTATACTTTTTTTGAATCTGCAAACTCCTTTGCGTTATCTTTGTTCCAACAATTTGGATATACCTCCCACAACTGTTCAATTGTCCAGCCTCCAATGAATTCCACACAGAGAACAGATTGCAGCCACCAGAGTTTTCTCCTCTTGTGATAGCAAGAATTATGAGATTCTCTATAGGTTCAGTCTAATATTTAATTAATCTATTTAATTAAATTCGGTCCGTGAATTAATTAATTAATTCGGGCTCATAAATAACCAGCCCAATTAATTAATTTATCCAACGATTGTTAAATTAATTAATTGACAAATTACAATCTTCAATTTCTCTTTTGTGTTCGACCCATCAGATTCCCGATCATGATACCTAACGACGTGAAATATTATTTTGATCTAATCAAAATTAATAAATTAAAATACTCTTTTAATTTATCATCAATTCACACTCGTCATCCCAGATTGACATCTAGCAATGTCTCAGGACAACACATGTGACAAGAAATGTCATGTGGTGTGACAAAACAAAACTTGTTCGTTTACCATGAAACTATAATCACTTCGTCAATACGATCCGATCAATTATGAGATATAGAAGTGTGTCAATCTCGATTATCGATCATATCTTTCATTCTACTATTAAGTCAATATGAGTCGAAAACTCCTTTT